AGAGTGTGGAGTGTAAAGTGTAAAGTGTAGAGTGTGGAGTGTGGAGTGTAAAGTGTGGAGTGTAGAGTGTGGAGTGTAAAGTGTAAAGTGTGGAGTGTGGAGTGTAAATTGTGGAGTGTAGAGTGTAAAGTGTGGAGTGTAAAGTGTAGAGTGTGTAGTGTAGACTGTAGAGTGTGAAGTGTAGAGTGTGGAGTGTAAAGTGTAAAGTGTAGAGTGTGGAGTGTGGAGTGTAAAGTGTGGAGTGTAGAGTGTGGAGTGTAAAGTGTGGAGTGTAAAGTGTGGAGTGTAAAGTGTGGAGTGTGGAGTGTAAAGTGTAAAGTGGGGAGTGTCGTGTGTAGAGTGTGGAGTGTAGAGTGTGGAGTGTAAAGTGTCAAGTGTAAAGTGTGAAGTGTAAAGTGTAAAGTGTGGAGTGTAAAGTGTAGAGTGCGAAGTGTGGAGTGTAAAGTGAGTGTAAAGTGTAGAGTGTAAAGTGTGGAAGTGTGAAGTGTAAAGGGTGGGAGTGTAGAGTGTGGAGTGTACAGCAGGCAACGCGACACGTCTGAAGTGCTGCGCCTGCCATGCAAAATGACGACAGAGATCTCCAGAATGCTGCGCGTGCCACGACAACTGCAACTGGGATCTTGTGCAAAACACGCAAAAGTATTGCGCCTGCCACACAAAACAACTTTCGACACATGATCAAACAGGTTGGAATGTCACAAAGTGCCGCGCCTGCCACGCAAAACGACATGACAACTTGCTTGGAAACCTTCGAAAAGGAGATGTTCTGCAGCTTCCCCCATAGACACGGCGAGGCCACAGGAAAACCAGCATTTCGTGCGAGACCTCCTCCAATTTTGACACTTTGTAGCTTCAACATCGATGTTTTCCTACGAGTTCTCATTAGAACCTGAACATTTGCTACCTCAAAATCGATGTTTCGTGCCATGCTTCCGTCAATTTCATCAATCACATCTCACAAAATGCCATGCCTGCCACGGAATTTGCACCTTGTCGCCACTTGACGCAGCCCTGACAATGTGATTCGCAAAAAACACGCAACACGACACGTCGAAAGTGCTGCACCTGCCACGCAAAATGACGATGGACACGTCCAAAGTGTTGCGCCTGCCACGAAAACTGCAACACATCTCCTGAAAATGTCGCAAAAGTATTGCGCCTACAACACAAAACGACTTTCGGCACGTTGCCAAACACGTCTGAATGAGCAGCGCCACATGTGAAACTTCCAAAAGCGACCCTTGTGCAGATCTTACCATAGGCACGGCCATACGGGGATCGCGCGGACGGTTGCGGACGGTTGCGGACGGTTGCGGACGGTTGCGGACGGTTGCGGACGGTTGCGGACGGTTGCGGACAGTTGCGAACGGTTGGGCAACGTCGAGCGAACACACCCTCAACCCCCAGACCCCCAGAGTGAAACGGGAACCCTTGCTACGCATTCAGGAATAAAACTTATTGTAAAATTATACGTATTTTATAGAATATATAGATTTTTAAACATACATATATATAATATGAAGAATACAAATACATTAAAAAATATAATATATATATATATATATCTATATAATATGTAAAATAAACCTTTAATATATATATATATATATTTATTTATTCAAAATATATTTGAAATAAAATTAAAATAAATACAATATATATATAAAGCAGTGAATATACATAATATATATATATTTATACAATATATATATATATATAGTATCTAAATTTATATATATATATCTCTACAATATTTAAATAAATATAACCTTAAATATAATATATGCAATACATTGAATATTGACATATATAGTATATAATTTTTAAACTATTAAATATGTAATATATATATAGAATACATAATATATAATATATAATATATATAATATATAGTAAATGATATATAGTACATATTCATATAATATTTTCAAATTATATATAAAAGATCATTTAATATTTCAAATATATTTTTCATAAATATCTAATATAATATACATTAAGTATAATGTACTATATCAAATATTTTTTAAATTTAACATTATATATATTGTATATTATAAATATTTTTTTTTTAAATATTATATTTAATTTACAATACAATATATCATATATACAATATTGAAAGTATCTAATATAATTTATTTTAAAAATAACTACAATATATATGTTTGTATTTAATTTAATATAATACATATTATATTAAAATATCTTTTGCACTATATATTAAATATAGCGAAATATTATATACATATATAAAATATAAAATATATCTATATATGACATATGTATATAGATATAATATGATATATTTAATTTGTTTAAACTATATTTTATATAATATAACAATATATATATATATATACATATTTAAATATATATGATATTATTTTCTATTTATAATACATATTACATTACATAAACAACATATACAATCTATGTTTAAAATATATACAAATTACATGGAACTCTTTGTCAGAAGCTGTGATGCTTTCAGATCTTTCAGGAAGATTTGTGCAGCTGCCGAGACTGACCGGAAGATGCTGTCGGACACTGTGCTTGAACTGGGATTCAAGGCGCCTGAGGTGCCTGCAGTATCCGCCATTGTGTGAACTACGCAATAGGTCCGTGCAACCCTCAAACGAACATACACTACTTGAACAATACTTGAACAATGTAGATCATGTAACAAAGAAAAACTGAATTTTGCATTCATGTAGTCTGCTGGCTGTCATTCTTCAATTCTTACTTTTCATTTTGTGATGGAAGCAGAAGCCGCAATAGCTGCAGGCTGACCAGCACAGAGACGACATCAGAAGACAAGAGGTGTTGATCACGCGGGAAGAACTGGAGGCCTCAGCCCAAACCATGGGATCCAAGAAACCCGCGTTCGACCAATCAGACGTTGCCATTTTTTCACTATCAAAAACATTTACTGACTGGATGATCTGAAAAGGAGGACGACGAGATTGACGAGATTGACGAGGATGACGAGGATGATGAGGATGATGTCGATGATGAGGAGAATCAGGATGAAGAAAGGGAAGAGATGGAGATTCAAGAGCTGGAAGAGTTGGAAGAGATGCTTGAAATGACGCAGAATGAAGATGAGCAGAACGATGGCACCCGAAAGTTGTCTGATGTCCAAATGAGACGCCAAGCGCGCGTGGACTGGAAGCCGGAGGTGGTGCTTCAACAGATCAGTGCTTTGTTTCGCAGTTGGACTTTGATCGGAACGGACAAATCCATGAAACTAGTATAAACATGTATAAACTATCCGTAAGTATCCTGTAATGCAGGATCCAGTATATAAATGGAACTGGCCAGGAGATGAGCTGTATTTGGTGCCATCCCAGTGTGTCATTGACAGCGGGACCCACTTCCAAAGAAGACTAAGGTGCAGAGGAGTTGTCCAAAGCAAAGAAGCTCAGTCGTGCAGCAATGCCGCTTGACCAAACACGTCTAAGTACCCCATTCTGTCAGAATCCGTCAGATTCTGTCAGATTCTGTCAGCTGCTTTGCTTGTATTTGCTTGTTCTCTTGATGTGGTGCTTGGAACTGATACTGAGGTACATGCATCACATCACGGCACCCTGGAAGCAGAGGTTCATCAAAGAGGCTGCGAAGCGTGCTGGTCTCTCTGGGATTTGCGTCTTCGGAAAGCCTGGACGAATTCTTGTAGAAGGGCACCTTGGTTCGGTTTGGCGCCAAAATTCTCGAGAGCACTGCTAGAGCGCCGTAGAGCTGGACTGGCATCACAGCCGCGCCGTCATGCCCGATCTCAGGCCGCTGGAGCCGCTCGGATCAAGCCTTGGATGATCCCAGACGGATGCCCCACAGCGTTTGGTTGCCATGGCCATCATGATTGCCCTTGCCATTGCCCTTCTCGTGTGGCGTATATTGTGTTATATATGTTATATACATTATATGGGGCTGCCCCCAGATTCAGTAATATCTCCAGCAGAATTGAGGTTGGTTTCCCGGTACGCAGCCCGGATAAAGATTCTTGGCTGCAAGATAGTGTGGCTCTAGAGCTGTTTCAGGCAAAGAAACCGAATATGAAGAACCCCCCAGGCTATTCACCCAAATTAACGAAACAAAAAATACAATCAAACAATATCAAGCTGTATGTAAATATATACACGTTGTGTTGTTTTTTTCAAGTACAGGTCGTAGTGGTATTTTCTGCGAAGTTTGAGGTCATGGCCTTGGAAGCGCTGTGACTTACAGGGGCCTTGGACAGTGGATGGTGATCGCGCCTTCCATGGCTTCAGAGAGATCAAGAAGGCAGACTTCAAGCAGCTCGGGAGAATTTGGGCAACGTTCAAACACCTAAAGATCTTGAAGTATCTTGAAGTATCTTAAAGTGTTGAAATCAGTTTGCATCAATATAAACTTATGAGAATCATGAAGCATAATTCTCGTGTGGCTCCTCCAAAGTGATTCTGGGCCTGTTTTTTGGGGCCTAATTCTTTGAATCGTTTGCCCAGTGCAGCCCTCACTAAGGAAAGAAGTGGCTGCGGCCGGTCTTTCTGAGCAGCTCAAAGGCATCAGGTCAGAGTGAGAAAAGATGAGTGCACGTTGCAGCAGCTATGGCGGGGTCCGTTGGTTACCTTTGGTTCAAATGCTTCTCCCCACCCAAAGAATCCCAAAGTCATAGTGCCCCGGTAAACGCCGTTTGTGGCGAGAGATGATCGGGAGGTCAGGGTATGAGTGGGGATGGAATTGCTACTATTGCGATCAAGTGCATCGGAACCACATCTCGAAGGCTTTGCCACCTTCAGGCTCATCTTGCCTTGCCTTTTGCTACGACAACTGGCAGTGCAGTGGCCTGAAGCTGAGTTTTGTGCAGGATCCTTCTAGACTCAGCTTCTTGAATTTGGAGCTGACGATTGCTGCTTCAATGATGCTTGATTTTGTGTCAGGCTCAGATCACCCAGCCGCCATGGTACCATCAGCAAATCCAGCTCGGACCCTATTCTTTCAAAAAGATGCAGTTGTGACATCATGAGATCTGCTGCTTGTATATCTCTGTATATCTGTGTCATGTCTGAGCTGTATGCTACGTGCTGTAGATTCTGCAGATCACAGTGTCGAACTCTGGCTTTCCATCAGCTCAAGAGGCCCCAACGTGAGACCGCACAGGCAAAGCAGGCGTGTGCTTATTTTATTTTCCAAGCATCAAGAGCCATTCCTTTTCTGCAACTTCCCACCAAGTTCCCTACAGACTGCAAGCCTCAAAAAATTGAGCTGTGTCGCTGTATCAACGTGGTGCAGACCGAGCCCCTGTTGGCCAACGCTGCCGTGCTAGTCTCTGAGGAAAGCTGGAAGGGCAGAACGAAACCCGAAGACAAGAAACTTTTCAAATAACTTCAAAATGCTCAAACCGGCTCAAACCGGCTCAAACCATGGCCTCCACAGGCACAAACTGTCGCGTTTGCCTCGGGCCTCAGACTTCCTTTAGATTTTGCTGAGAGCATTCCTGCGCAGGACATGGCAATCCGCGTGTATTCGGCGAAGTCCAAAGCCTTGCTATCTACACTCCCGCCACCACCCAACAGCAAGGTGCATGAGTTCCCACTTTCCGAAATCACTGGGAAGACTTTGACATCTTTGACAGAGTGACTGTGTCATTTGCATTCAAATCGTTTGAATCTGCCGTCGTTTGAAAGCAGGTGCAAGTTCTTGAAGTCTTTCTTTGCCCTGTTCGCACCCTCAGACAAGAACTTCAAGAACTCACTTGCAGAACTTATTCATTGTACGCTATCTGCACCAGAAATCGCCAGAACTGAGGTGTGGCAGCTGCTGATCCTTTGGCTTAGTTCTGAAGAGGTGACCCGAGCAGTTTCAAACAGAGTAGTTGAATAGTTTCAAGTCCACAAAACATCACACAACTATCGCAACCAGACTATATGAGACTGTATGCAAATAGTTCAAGTACTTTCAAGTTATCGAGACGATTCTCGGAAGCACCCCGAGGTAGAAAAGGAACTTGTTTCAAAACTGAGGTCACACTGGAGCAATTCTGCTTTTTTCTTTAAAAAAACATTTTTGGTCTTAAAAGCATCGGTTCATGGAAACAAGCCAGGGACACTTCTGATTTCAGCGTCTTCCAGGTAGCAATTTTCTATGTGCCGTCAGCGCCGCTGGAAAAGCAGTCAAAGGCAGAGGACGTCGTTGCGACCAACTGAACAAAACAGAGACTCCGCTGATGAGTGCCTTGATGACTCAAGTGTTCATTCCGTTGATGCTTAGCAAACCGTAAGCAACTCCTGGTATTCGTCCTTGCAAAAACTGAGTTGCACAATTACACTGGCACTGGGGAGGACAAGGTTCCTCGCAGTCGCGCGGCCACACCGCTACTTCTGCGGCGATTTGGCATTGTGGAGGCTGGGTGCGCTCAGAAAGCCGGATGCCATCAAACTTTAAGATCGACACAGTGATGCCATTTAAATTTAAAGTGGGGCACTCGCAAGGTGCGGACTTTGATGCTGGACAAGGACAGAGAATACAGGGCACAAAGAGAGATGGCTGAAAGTGGCAGTGGCTGAAATTGATTCAACATCCTTACTGTAGCAAGCACTTTGCCTGTCATCCACCCCTGGTTGTCCAAGTATTTGGAGGGAACTGCAGAGCCACACTCAACCTGTCACCCAAGTTGTATCTATTGGTGTTTTGGTATGCTTTAGTGACTTGCACCTGGTACAAGTGTTTAGATTTGTTGAGTGGTTTCCATTTCCAACATTTCCAACTTCACCGCAGCCAGGATCTTTCCCGGGAAGCTTTCTGCAGTGTGTCAATTTACTACGGACTGTGACTTGACAGATCTTCAGAGTGAACATGAAGTGATTGCAGCCCGAACAGCGACCTGAAATTCGTGCATGCCTGAAAAATATCCTGCTTCGTTTGAGGCTTCCAAAAGGGGATACTCTGATGCACACAGTGAAGGACTGCGTGCGCGATTCTGTGCCGAGGGGACCTTGAAACAAATCATTGGGGTGAATGCAGAGTGGCACCTCCAGTCATTGAGCACGCTGAAAATCAAGCAGAAACATATTGTAAGTGGACTTTGGCACATGTGGATTTTGTCGCTGTTTTTGAGCAGACGCGTGCACAGTCCACCGCAGGTTGCCCAGCAGGTGCTGGCAGACGACAGCTCTCCTGCTTCGCCTCGAAGGCAGCGTGATCTAAGGTCGTTTTGTTTTTTCAAGAACAGATCCGGGAGAAGGATGGCTTCAACGTAAGCATTTGGCATGTTGGGGTTGGCACTGCTGGCACTGTTGGCACTGTTGGCACTGTTGGCACGGTGAATGAAGCACGATGGCCCGATGGCGAGTGACGGAAGTGGCTCGGAGTGGCCCTGTAGGCATATGCCACGACAGACTCCGCCAGCTGGGTTGGGCTCCAAGAATTCAATGCCCAGGAGAAATTGGCAGAAATTGCTTGTCAGTTGCCTTGTGAATTCGAAGCCAAACTCGGCCGAACTGTTCTGATGAATATTGAAAAAGAGTGATCAAGAATGATAAAGATGCTTACAGGTGTATGGAGGCAGTGATCTTGAACACCGTGACGAGTGAAAGGATCATTTGCCCCGAGCAACCTGCCAACAATCGGTCTACCAGTCTTGCGGATGCAACATTTTTGTGGCTCGACAGTAGCGAAAGCACCAATGGCAATGATTGCTGCTCCATTGGTGTGGATACTCAGCAACCCACACCGACTGCATCAAGATTTGTTTTGCAACAATACGATTGAATAGAAGTGACTTTGTGTCATTCTAACCTGCGCATTCATTTTACAATGATGATGGATTTTTTCCCACATCTTTGTGTGGGGTTCTTGTTTTTGGTTGTGCACTACAGGCTGACTCCTTCTCCTCGCCGCCTCCCGCCGCCTCCCTCACACCCAACTTGCTCACACCCAACTTACTCACACACAACTTACTGTACTCACACCCAACTTGCTCACACCCAACTTGCTCACACCCAACTTACTCACACACAACTTACTGTACTCACACCCAACTTGCTCACACCCAACTTGCTCACACCCAACTTGCTCACACACAACTTACTCACACACACACACACAACTTACCGTACTCACACCCAACTTGCTCACACCCAACTTACTCACACACACACACAACTTACCGTACTCACACCCAACTTGTTCACACCCAACTTACTCGCACACAACTTACTGTACTCACACCCAACTTGCTCACACCCAACTTACTCTCACACACACACAACTTACTGTACTCACACCCAACTTGCTCACACCCAACTTGCTCACACCCAACTTACTCACACACAACTTACTGTACTCACACCCAACTTGCTCACACCCAACTTGCTCACACCCAACTTGCTCACACACAACTTACTGTACTCACACCCAACTTGCTCACACCCAACTTGCTCACACCCAACTTGCTCACACACAACTTACTCACACACACACACAACTTACCGTACTCACACCCAACTTGCTCACACCCAACTTACTCACACACACACAACTTACCGTACTCACACCCAACTTGCTCACACCCAACTTACTCACACACAACTTACTGTACTCACACCCAACTTGCTCACACCCAACTTGCTCACACCCAACTTGCTCACACCCAACTTACTCACACACAACTTACTGTACTCACACCCAACTTGCTCACACCCAACTTGCTCACACCCAACTTACTCACACACAACTTACTGTACTCACACCCAACTTGCTCACACCCATGGTGACATCGATGTGTATTCTGCGTGGCAGGAGTGGCACTTATGGCGCTGGGCTGGCTCTGGTGGCGCGCTTGGGTCCCAGTTGACGCTGTGGACGCTGCGGCTGTTTGTGTCGCAGGCGTGGCGCTTGGCGACATCGACGTGCATTCTGCGTGGCAGGCGTGGCAGTTGGCGACATCAACCTGCACTTTGTGTGGCAGGCATGACACTTACGGCACGGGGCTGGCTCTGGTGGCGCGCTTGGTTCCCGATGACGCCGCTCCACTTTGCGTGGCAGGAGTGGTGCTTGGCGACATCGGCTTCCGCTTTGTGTGGCAGGTGTGGCGCTTGGCGACATCGATCTTCACTTTGTGTGGCAGGCGTGGCACCTATGGCACTGGGCTGGCTCTGGTGGCTTTTGTCACACACAACTCTTTCACACACAACTTTGTCGCACATTTCTTTCACACACAACTTTGTCACACATTTCTTTCACACACAACTTTGTCACACATGTCTTTCGCACACAACCTTGTCACACACACAAACTCTTTCACACACAACTTTGCCACACACAACTCTTTCACACACGCAACTTGTCACACACAACTTTGCCACACACACACAACTCTTTCACACACGCAACTTTGTCACACACAACGCTTTCACACACAACTCTGTCACACATGCAACTTTGTCACACGCACAACGCTTTCACACACAACTCTTTCACACACACACAACTTTGTCACATACACCTCTTTCACACATAACCTTTTACACACAACTTTGTCACGTACAATTCGCGCACACACACAACACTTTTACATACAAAAACTTACACACACACACAAAACTGTCACACACACAGCTCTTTCACCCAACCTGTCTTGCACCATCTCCTTTCTCTTTCCTGCCTTTCCCATCTCATTTTCACATCTGGTTGGTGATTATTGGAAGAAACTGACATGTGGGGTTATCCGGTCCTTTCATTTGCCAACGGACATTACTCCAAGAGGAAAGGCACAAATCATGGACTGGGAGAGAGAGTGAGCATCAGATTGGTGCAAGGGCACTGTCCCTGAGCACAGGTCAAGGCCATCAGGGCCCCAGTGCCTGTTGGACGCACCAGGAGGGCTGCAAGATACGTTTCACAAATTTTTGCTGGGCCTTTCATTGTTTTTCGACATATTTTCATTGCGTGTCTGGTTACAATTTCAACATGTTACGCCGGTTGCGATGCCGCCTCTGCCGCCTCTGCCCCTTTGCCAGGACACCGTTGTCGTCACCACCGTTGCCATCGTTGCCATGTCGGGCAATGGGCACAGCACCTGCAGCTGTGCTGGGTGCCTTCGGATATGCTGCGGTGGCGCGACGGCACAAGGTGCTGAAAGCATCAAAAGAATCAAAAGGTGATGATCCAAAGGAGGTGGAAGAGGTGGAGGAGACACGGAGCATGGCATGTTCGTTTCATCCCAAGAAAGCAACTGTTTTCTCAATACGATGCTCTGGACATATTTGACGACGCGTGATCAGGCAACAATATTCGAACAAAGTGCCAGTATTTTGCCATTACAGGTGGTACATACCTGTGAAAAACATATGCAAACCGTGGCAGTCTTTCTGACTAAATGACAAAACCATGCCCTTGTCGCTCCAGGAAGTCACAAACACGTCGCGGCTCAAGCGATGGTGGAAGAAGACCCCTGGCTCAGTTGAGGGCAACCGTTTGTATCGACACATTCAGTGAATAAATCGAATAAATCTCACTGGGTTAAATGCAGATAATCTTTGATCAACTTTCGACTCACTTGGACTCAGCGGTGAGATGAATAAGATTGAGTGCGCATCACTATGTGGCTGTGAAGAACCAGTGGGATGTTGTCTTGTAACATTTTGTAACATCCACGCTCAACTAGGGCGATTTCAGCAGACCATGTCATGCCATGTCATGCCCCAAGATTCCGATCATTGGTCGAGGACCGCCAAGTTGGATGCCAAAGCCTTGCGAAAGATGGGTCTGATGTGTCTTGGCAGCTTCAGAAGAATCTCACGTAGTTATTTGACAAATCCTTGGGTCACACACACCTTTCATATAACTAGACGATGGTTGGCCCGAGAGCGAGTAGGTGTATAGGTACTCAGATGTGTTATGTAGTTGTATGATTTGCAGACGCCAAAGACTTGCATGAATATGTTCATGAGAATGTTACTTGAGATCATGTGAATATGTTCATTATGTGTAGATGTCAAGATAAGAAGATGTGAAGATGTCAGGGTTTTAGTTGCAAGAGACAGACAAGGTATGCTGTATAGAACGTTGTTGAAGATGTGAAAAATACAAACATACAGATATGCTGATAGGCTCTCAAACACAGACACACGCAGAGAAACAAGTTTACACATATACACACACACGCAGACACACACACACAAACCCACACACACACACAGCAGCTTTTACACAGGAGCTTTTACACACAGCAGCCTGTACACACAAAAACATTTGCACACAGAATCCTTTACACACAAACACTTTTACACACAAAAGCTTTTACACACAGAAGCTTTTACACGCATACACTTTTACACACAGACGCTTTTACACACAAAACAGTCAGACACTTTTACACACAGACGCTTTTACACAGACGCTTTTACACACAGAAATTTGACACACAGCACGCTTTTACACACAGAGGCTTTACACACAGATGCTCTTACACAGACGCTTTGACACACAGACGCTTTTGCACGCAGAAGCTTTTTACCCACAGAAGATTCTACACACAGAAGCTTTTTAAGCACAGATGCTTTTACACACAGACACTTTTTACACACAGACGCTTTTACACACAGAAGCTTTACACACAGAAGCTTTTACACACAGAAGCTTTTTACACACAGACACTTTTACACACAGACACTTGTACACACACACAAGTTATTACACAGATGCTTTTACACGCACAAGTTATGACACACAGACACTTTTACACACAGAAGCTTTTACACACAGACACTTTTACACACAGACGCTTTTACACACAGACGCTTTTACACACAGACACTTTTACACACAGAAACTTTTACACACAGAAGCTTTTACACACAGACGCTTTTGCACAAAGATGCTTTTTACACACAGAAGCTTTTACACACAGAAGCTTTTACACACAGAGGCCTAGCTTTTACACACAGAAGCTTTTACACACAGAAGCTATGACACACAGAAGCTTTTACCCCCCCACAGAAGCTTTTACACACAGAAGCTTTTACAGACAGACGCTTTTACACACAGAAGCTTTTACGCACAGACACTTTTACACGCAGACACTTTTACACACAGACACTTTTACACACAGACCCTTTTACACACAGAAGCTTTTACACACTGACACTTTTACACACAAGTTATTACGCTCAGATGCGTTTACACGCACACGTTATGACACACACAGACACTTTTACACACAGACGCATTTTCACAGAGACGCTTTTACACACAGACGCTTTTGCACACAGAAGCTTTTACACACAGGAGCTTTTACACACAGAAACTTTTACACACAGAGGCTTTTACACACAGACGCTGTTACACACAGAGGCCTTACACACAGAAGCTTTTACACACACAGGCTTTTACACACAGAAACTTTTATATACACACAGACACTTTTACACACAGACACTTTTACCTACAGAAGATTCTACACACAGAAGCTTTTACACACAGAAGCTTTTACACACAGAAGCTTTTACACACAGAAGCTTTTACACACAGAAGCTTTTACACGCAGAACCTTTTACACACAGAAGCTTTTACACACAGGAGCTTTTACACAAAGAAGCTTTTACACACAGAAACTTTTACACACAGGAGCTTTTACAGACAGACGCTTGTACACACAGACGCTTTTACATATAGACGCTTTTACACACAGACACTTTTTACACACAGAAGTACCGTTTTACCTCAGTTTTCGACGATCGAACCTCATTTCGTGCGAAAGGGTTGCACCGGACTCGCGAAAATCGCAATTTTACCGCAGTTTTTGGCGATCGAACTTCATTTCGTGCGAAAGGGTTGCGCCGGACCTGTGAAAATTTCAATTTTACATCAGTTTTTGGCCAGCGAACCGAATTTCGTGCGAAAGGGTTGCACCGGCCCCGTGAAAACCGCAACTTTACATCAGTTTTTGGCGATCGAGCCTCATTTCGTGCGAAAGGGTTGCGCCGGATCCGTGAAAATCGCAATTTTACCGCAGTTTTTGGCGATCGAACTTCATTTCCTTCGAAAGGGATGCGCCGGACCCGCGAAAATTGCAATTTTACTTCAGTTTTTGGCGATCGAACCGAATTGCGTACTAAAGGGTTGCGCCGGCCCTGTGAAAATCGCAATTTTACATCAGTTTTTGGGGATCGAACCTCGTTTCGTGCGAAAAGGTTGCGTTTCGTGCGGTCTCGTTGGCACTGCCTCGCGCCTTAAGAGAGAAATAGAAAAGAAGGAGAGAGCAAGAGGGCAAGAGAGCAAGAGGGCAAGAGGGCAAGAGGGCAAGAGAGCAAGAGGGCAAGAGAGAATCTGAAGATGTGAAGATGTGAGGATGTGAAGATGTGAGGATGTGAAGATGTGAAGATGAGAAGATGTGAAGATGAGAAGATGTGAAGATGTGATGTGAAGATGAGAAGATGTGAAGATGGGAAGATGTGAAGATGTGAGGATGTGAAGATGTGAGGATGTGAGGATGTGAAGATGCGAAGATGAGAAGATGTGAAGATGAGAAAATGTGCAGATGAGAAGATGTGAAGATGAGAAGATGTGAAGATGAGAGGACGTGAAGATGAGAAAACGTGAAGATGAGAAGATGTGAAGATGAGCAGATGTGAAGATGAGAAGATGTGAAGTGAAGACGTGAAGATGTGAAAATGTTTGACAGACCCCGACTATTAGAAGAACCCTTCGCTCAGACGCTCTCGGGAAAAACCATCATGCAGAAAGTACTGCTGAGTTTCTTACCAATGATACCATGGAGGGCTGCAACATGCTGCCATGGTACATTTGTTGAACGATAAAGACCTGAGTTACCTGAGTTCCAAGGTGCCTCCTTTCCTACGGTTTTGTCTCAAATGTGAATGCGTTGATGCTTCTCCTTCTGGCCACCTATCGATCAATCCTTGCAACGGGGCAAAGTCCTTTGACCAGCAAGGCCCAGCTGTGAGCGACATGCGACACTTGCGCTTGCGACATCTTCTGCTTTCTGCTGTACTGTAATTATGGGTTTAGTTTACGAATCCTGATGCGGCTGTCAATTGATGCCTTTCACTTCGGCCTCATCCTGGGCCGGCTGAATCCCAACTTTCTTTTGCATCATTGAAGCATCTGTCAAGTTGTGGTGGGCAAAGACGGAGGGCCACAGGTATTTAGTTTTATGAACTCGGTGTTTGAACCACACCCAACAATGTTGGCAATGTTGCTGGCAACGTTTCAGTTTTTTCTTTCACACTTGAGGCGGCACTGAAGCAATTTGGTATCACTTGGGCAGGGCTTTATGTGACTTGACTCTGAGTTCAATCCTATTGTTTTTTGTTTTCATGGTCGTCCCTTTCACAAGAGATGCTTTTTCTTTTTGCGGCTTTTGTTGCTTGACTCATGACCGTGTCCGCTTTTGCGTCCATCTATACACAGCAGCCTGGTCATGCACTGGATGTTGTTCTCATCCCGCGGGCGTGGAACATGACGCGATTTGGCTCGTCATTTTGAGGTCATCAGCAACATTGTTAGACCTGTGCGAAGCAGCTTGGATCAAAAGTCAGACCACCTAGTTTCTTCGAAATGTGCTCAGTATATTTTAACATAGGGGCCTAAAATTCTTGAAATGCAAGCAAATGTAACGAGTGATCGATCTTGAAGGCCCGCTTTGCCGCATTTCCTTTCGGATCTTTCAGAGGGTTTTGTGCGTTCAACTCAGTCAGCATAGCTCTGGCGATTTCCAAGCCCATCGACAGCCTGGTGAAGTGGTTCGAGGACTAAGTTGAGATGCAGAAGGTTTCCAGAGTGCAAGCAGGGAGCCAATTTTGCGAAGGAGAAACTGAAGTGCAAGCGATGGATGGCAATCGGTACTGTGATGCTCTTTTTAAATGTGGCTTGACCTGGCCAGACAGTCTGTTGTGACGAAGTTGTGACGTTGTGTCAGCTGCATTTGCTGTACTTGCGGAGCTTCTGCCCCGCAAGACCGAACCAATGGTCTAATCTTCCGTGAGTCAAGACTGTCTATATCTGAATTCAAGATGCTCGTGCTCCTGAGATTTGACTCTGAGGTTTTCTTGACCATCGGGATGCTTTGGGGTAACTCAGCTTTATCCTGTACTTTTCCTGTATTAATGCAAACCGGTGTTTTGTCTTGGGTGCATTCCAATTCTCTTGCCAAAGGGGATGTGCACATGCTGCAGCCGTGACAGCCGTGATGCTTGTTTTGAAACAAGGTGGAATGATGCTGGTATCTACTCTGCAGCTTGTGCTTGGTATGGTGACCTCCAGAAAGCCAAGATTACTTAAACAGGGTATGAGCAATACGAAGCTTTTGCAACTGCAATGGCTTGGAAGGGAAACGTTGCTACTGATGTGCTCTTGTGTCTCAGATGATGTTCTCTTGTGTCTTAGGTCTTGAAACTGAACAGTTGAAATGTTTATCTGTTTGTTCCACCGTCGCATCCCTGTCCTGTTGGTGTGATACTTCAGCTTTGCTTCTACCCTCTCATGCTGTCAACCTTTCAGGGCATGGCAAGCGGTCTAGGATAGGCATCAGAGATAGAGACTCTCTGTGTGAATGCGCAAATGCTACGAGCCTTTCAATCATTTTGGCCGCGTGGCAAAGATTGTCAAAGCATGGCCAAAAAAAAATATATATATACATACATGGTGATCGATCTAAAAGTTCCTTGTAAAGAGTTTTAATTGCGAAGACCGTTCACGTTATACTGGGAACCCTCGCGATAGTTTTTTGTGAGTTCGCGAAATATTTTTTATTCGCGAAAGTTTCGCGAAAGTTGGATAGTATGAATCATTATCATTGCATACATTACAACTTGTTAAGGGCTACCACCTCCTGCCGCCAGGGGGTCCGGCAGGAGAATGGCACCGCACAGCTACCTTTCCCCTCATAGGTAGCAGCCAAGCTTCCGACGGTGAGGCTTCGCCATGGCCAAATAGCATGGTCTTGAAGCACATCCTTGCACCTGCCGCTGGTACTGCCTAACATTGCTTTCTGAAGTCTCAAGATGCAAGCCCCAAATGCAGCAGCCAAGCTTCCAAAAGTGAGGCTCTGCGAGAGCCAAACACCAAGGCCCCGAGGGTTTGCTTTTCCTCTGATGCACTCCCTGCTGATGGCTGGGGTCTGCGGATAAGGGTATTTTTGCGAAAGTTCCGCGAAAGTTCTGCGAAGGAGTGGGCGAAAGTCAAAGTGCATTTTGAAGGGAGTGGCCCATCAAGCCGTGCAAAAATTGCCTAATCAGCAACAACCTGTCCTGAGAAGGGGATTCCGTGATGCTAGCTGCATGTTTACAAGGCTATGAAGAAGTTATCCGTGATAATTTGGTGTGATTTGGCAGGTAATGAGTGAATCTTCATAAGAGGAGTTGTTGCTTAACATGGGGCCCGTGAAAGATAAACATGGAGTTCGCGAAAGATTCGCGAAATATTTTTTTTCGAAGAATGGCCGTTTGCAGATAAAGGCATTTAGATCAACCGCCATATATTACATAGATGAAATGCACACTCACTGGATTCCAGCCACCTTTCATAATGTAGCATACTGTATATATATATGTTGTTTTACTACCAATACACAGTATATACTCCTATCAACTTCATCTATCCACCTTACTTTGGTGCACTTGATAAGCTCTCTGAGGACAGGCGTGCAAGTGAGCGCTTCTCAGTTTGGCGTCCTGCTAAAAGCGGGCAAAGCTGCCGAGGCGCACAGCTGACACGTCTTATGACAGCTCCAATCTGCAGCGGATGCAGCAGATGAATTGTTCATATTGTTCCGTTTCAAAATTGATTTCCCTGCGGTGATAGCGTTGGAACGGCCGGCTGGGCGCGAAAAGAGCGAATACGCAGAGAACAGGAGTGTGTACATGGTGTAGGGATCCATTTGACGAGCTCTTTGATTTATTAAACAGGCCCTCTTTTTTCACATAATTAGCCGCTAGACAAACTTTCGACACTCTGAAGGTAGCAGGGTGTTTCCAGGAATTCAAACGAAGTTTAATAAAATGCAAACAATGCAACGAACTTCTTTTTGCGTGGTCAAGTTCTGGGTTCCAGAATCAAACAAAATTTTGAAGCGAAGAAATGTTACAAGAGGGCGTGTGGCAGTTGTATGATCTGTAGGTGATGCTTTGATGGGCTGAGGCGAGATTGGTATTTGCTGGTTGGTACACGCCAGGGCACTTTGCAGGCTGAGCGGGGTTTGGATTTGAGTTTCAATCATCTGAGTCCTTTAAGATCCTTTAAGTGCCAAACTTTGACTTGAAGGATGGATAGCTGGGAGCATTATTTCACAGTATTTACTACTGCTAGATGAGCAGTATTTGGGAACTGGTTCAACGTGCTTCAACCTGCTTGGACACTTCTCATGACTTCCAGGCTTTCAGCATTGCTGAGCTGTTGTCAGACTTGCCGGTGTGGTCTAGGACCTGCACATGCATTGGGCGCGGGCAGAAAAAAATGGCTGAAATGCCTTTGAACAGTTTTTCTGTCCATTTTCTGTCCATTTTGACATTCTTGGCTCCCAAATAGCAAGTCCTTTTGTCACCATCTGAAAAGCCAAGCATTAATCAAAGGCGCTTCCGTTTCAAAGGAAAGGTACAACACTCCGTGCCTTGAAAATCTTTGTAAGCAGGTTGCAGATGTTCCTGGACCGTGTCTTCTCCCTCGCTCTCTGTACTCTCTAATGCAGCACTCATGTTCCTGATGTGTTCCTGGGACGTTCCTGGTACTCCTGAGGTATTTCTGTTGGTGTCTTGCAAACGGTGCATCTCGTAATTCTCGTGTGCCGCAGGATTTGTGGGCATCTTCCTAAGGAAGCAACAGCAGTGTTTTCACGCCGCACACTCAAAGTCTCAAGATGTCTTAAGACGTCTTAAGATAGAATGCTAACGGCAGGCGCTGTTTTGGATGCTGTCTTGAGGGCGGCCGCGTCGAACTCGCACCACGGGTAAGCTCAAGGCTGAATTTGCTAATCTACTGAATATGCCCAGCTGTATGAGAAAGGTCTTCGGCTTTATCGTTTTGCTGCAAGAACGCAGAGAGATGGAAGAAAGAGGCTAAAAGTACTGTCTGACAGGTGCCAGAAGAAAACGATGCACGTCTGGCTGAGATAGAGCAGGACGGCTCATTGAAGCTGAAGAATGTTGGCTGAAATAATAGTAACTGTTGAGTAACACTGAGAGCCTCAAGAGATCTCGAGCATCTCTTGAGCTTCAACAGCAGAGCCCCAGTTGTCAGGAGCACATTGAAGCTATGGAACTCTCGCGAGCCAAGAACTGAAAATTGAACTGGCGAACCTACTGAGTCTATCGTAACTGACGTAGTTTTCTTTTCCAACAAGATGCTCCACAACTGAGCACCGAACGCTTTCATTCTCATCGATTCAACCGATTCTCCTGATGTGATACTTCAATTGTTTCATATTGTTTCAATTGGCGGTGAGGCGGCTGGACAGAGGCCCTTCCCCAAGCAGAGTCAGATCCCTCTCTTCAGCCGTTGGAGGCGGAAGATTGGTAGCTGGATGTAGCTGGACAAGCCACGAAAGCGGATCATACAAAGATGTGGGTTCTTGGTATTTTTGTTTTTTTGGGATATCTTTGCATCTTTACATGGATACTTTAGTTGTATCTGCAGTTAGCATGTGCTTACCCACAGTCATATCAGATATGGGAACGTGAGAAGATCTTGCATGCCATTGCCTGACAGGGCATTGCGTGAGATGTTCTGATTTGAGATGGCATGATCTGATCTTTCAAGGATGTACGAACTAGTTTGAGTTGGTTGAGAGTCGAGAGCTGTTGAAATTCAGCATGGAGTCTTTGGTGATAGGATTGCAGTCTTATCGTTCTTCTTGTATTCATCTCTTACAGCTGCAGGCGCCACGACTATGCCATTGAAGCGGTCAAGTCTGTGGCAGATCGCATTTTGACCATTGACACCAAGCGCAACTTGAAGGTCTGTCGTGTGAGGAGCTCAAGTCGATGCTCGATTCGATCAAGTTGCACTTTAAGTTGAGGTGGGCATGCGAAAGAGTAAAGGTTAATCTATGTTAATCTGTCAGTGTCATCAACATTCATCAACCTCATAATCTCTGGACCAGTCAACAGGCTTTGCATGTGAATCGACACTCAAAAGTACAAGGATACGCGCAATCCAATAGCAAGACCGCTTGCAAGGCTGAAGACAGCCGCTGCCTATTCAGTTTTCGTACTGTCCCTAGTCACTGGTTGGACTCATAAAGCTACTCTATTACAATTGTAAGGGCATAAACAACCTGTGCCCTGCGCGCCTACCCAAGATCTCAGGATTTCTGGCCATTGTTGAAGAACCAGTTTCAAAATGCTGCCTAGCCCTGTAGAAATTCTCTTCTGTTTTGTCGTGACATATTGGCTGTCTCAAGAGTTGGCTGTCTTTGTTGTTTCGCATTGCCAGCACTGAGAACTCCCGGACTTCTCCTGCTTGACACCGTACCTTTCCTGTTCACAGGCACCGAAAATTCATGGGTTCACGGGGTCACACCGCCAGAAAAAAACATATATAATTTATATAATCATAATCTCTCTCTCTCTCTCTCTATCTATATATATATATACATGCACACACATATAGTTTGGGCCAGAGTGCGTCTCCTGCACTCAAGAGCATGGAGCGTCAACTTGTACAGGTGAATGGGCAAACTGGACGTGAAGAGGCATCCATGAAACTGGCTTTGCCATTTCTATCGACTGGCCTGTGCTTGCTGGCGTTATTTCACATTCTATACCTTGGTTCCCCCTCTGAAACGCATGGGGGAACTATAGCGTAAGTAGGCACCATTGCAAGTTGCATAGCAAACTACGCAGCAAGAACTGCAAACTTCGACTTGTTTGAAATCATATGGAAATGTTTAGACTTTGACAGGACTTTTCGTTGCTCGGCGTGACTTTGGGAAACAGTCGCGGTGCTCTCGAGCTGGTGCAAAGCTCAAAATAGAAAGAACAAGTGCTCAGCGAGAGACAGAGGGGTTTTGACTGTAGTGAAAAACATGTAGGTAGGGTCATTTGAATTTCTCCATCGATCAGCGATCCTTCAGCTTCGCAAAATTTTATGACTATGGATGTGCAGGGCGGTTTGCTCAGGCCAATTTTTGCTACTGGCTTTTGATATTCGGGTCCCGTGCTTTTAGCGGAGATTCTATGACTTGATTTCTTGGTGTAGCAGGACTTTTTCTGTTTGTCTGTTTGTTGCCTTTTGTCGCCTATGACTTGCAGATAATTAGGAAATGGGTCAGTCATGGTCAGTCCAACGAGTTGGTGTCGTTCGTAGTTACAGAGTTTCTTTTCCTTCTTATTTTTTGGCTCCCGTTTCCGAGGCTGTCATGGTCTTCCCGTGTGTTTATTCTTTGCATTTTGGTATTTTTTGAATATATATCTATAATATATATATATATCTATAATATATATATAGATTCATATATATAATATATATAATATATATATAATATATAATATATATATAAGATAATATATATATAATATAATATATATAATTTCTAATATATAATATATATATATCACATATCTATCTATCTATCTATCTATCTATCTATCTATCTATCTATCTATCTATCTATCTATCTATATATATATACACGTACATAAAACGATTTTTGCGGACAACATTTGTCTTGCTATGCTTCTGCTTCATTCCCCCATGTTCCACCCTGCCGCACGGCCATAGCTTGTTGGGTCAACCGATGAATGCCCTTTATCATGTTGTCAGAATGTGGTAGAG